GGATAGCTTAGCTAGGTTTGAGTCCCTTATCGAACCAGTAGGATAATCCCTCATTGAACCAGTGAGACAATATGGATAGAATTAATCTAGGCAATCCATTACACGGATAGGGCCTTACTACTTGGATTTATCATCTACTCCGCTTTTTAGGCGAACTCCTGCCTCTCAAAATCATGTAATGCACATTTATGTCATAACTCACACATATATCATTCATAGAACTTCGCATTAACAATTTTCATTAAACTTCATCATTACACAATTATTGAACTTTCTCAAGCACATTTCATAGAACTTTAAAACCAAACAAGTCATTAAACTTTCAAATCACAATCATTGTACCTCACACTTTTAAAATCATTGAACTTCCCTATTTTCAAACATCATTGAACTTCTCTTAAATAAAGATTCATTTTACTTCTCAATTTGCCAAATTAATGAACTCCAAATGAACATTAATATGAAAATCCACCACTATTTTTCTCAAGGAAAATTTTACATCACAAGGTAAAAACTCACAAATTTAGTCTAGTAGATTTCTCCACAAAGTAAGCCATAATTGCATTTCTTTTTAGTTTATACATTTCAGTGATAAATTATAAATCAATAAACTAATAGACACACACAAGCATAATATAAAATTCCCCCGATTACCTTAAACCTTTAAAAGGTCAAAAGTTTCATCCCTTAACTATTTACTCTCAAAGCTTCCAAAAAGCTTGAATGGTGCCAATGGTAGTTACACTACAAGCATTCACCATGCAAAACATCAATATCCATTTTGAGCTATTTTTCCACTAACATTTCACCATTTCTTAACACTCAAGATTTATTCTAGACTCATGTAGAAGTACCCATAAGGCTTTTTAGCTTCCTTTAACTCTCATAAATAATGTTGAGCTCTTAAATGAGCATTAATGAAGCTACAATAATCCCAACTACCAAATTAATGGGAATTTTAGACATTTAATGTCCTCCAACAACCAATCATTATAAAATCATAAATGTCAAGTTTACTTAGCTCAATCTACTCCCATTAACTCCATTTAAGTCAATGGGTTCGGGCCCATAACTTCTATGGACTAAAAATCACCATTATCAATCAAACCCTAACCTCTACCATCAAGAAAATGGAAGAGAGGAAGATTTAAGTAAGGAAGCTTACCTTTGGTGTTTATGAGCTTCAAATTACTTCCAACAATTAGTCTCCTCAAGCCTTAGCTTAGCTTTTTGCCATTCTCTTGTTTTCTTTTGTTTCCTCTTCTTTTTTTCACTTCAAATTTGTGACTTAATACTGCAAAAATTTGACCATGTATCACAGCAGACACATAATGCATTAGGGCGCATGGCACAAAAGGCCTCTTCCAAGCAGGTTGTCACGCATGCATTGTAGCGGACCAACCACAAGCCACAGTGCGTGGCACAGAATTACTTCCTTCAGAAATTCTTCCTCTTCTTTTCCAGGGTGACCCGATTCTCCTTCGAACCCACGTTTAGAATTGAAATCAAGACCAAACACGCCCGTTAGGCCTCTCTGGCCACACACCTCATAGATACACTTTATTAGTCTATTTAAGCTTAATTTATTTAGATTTAAAATTAAGGATGTTACAAGAAGCGAGCTTCAGTGCTCAAGATAAGCATCCCATCTATAGACTCCCCCTAATGGCTTTTCTCTTCATGCATGGTAGTTTCAGGAAATGTTGCCTTCACATCCAAGTCTCAAATTAGTTTCATTAGCCATAACATTATCGTCTTCTTTTTCCCTTACATGCACATCATCTTGCCTTTCTCAGTCTAGCACGTGAAAAAATGATGAGGAAGATTAAGCACTTGGGCCCACATGTGCCAACATTTGGCTAAAATTACCATCCTCCACATCTTGAAGCCCATTAGCCAAAGCTCCAAAAGTATTGAAAATTTTAAGGCCCACTTTGTGATTTTCTCCATTCTTCACCACATGCAATTTGTCTCAGTCAACAGGAGGTTTATTCTCTTTTCCTTTAAATTTCACAATTGATGACCCCTTTCTTTTAGCACCTACTGGGATCCACTCTAAATTATTCTTCTTTTTTATTTCCTTATTGAAAATCCTGCTCCCATCAATCTTCTGATTTGGTCTTCCATGATCTCCTCTTTTATTCTCACTATATTTCAATATCACTCCCTTTTTCTCAGCTCCAACTCTCTCCATATCCTTCAATCTCACACCCCCCTTCATTTAATCCCTTCAAATCCACACTTCTATATCTCCAGCATAACTATCTCTTAATTAGCATTTTTGATCCATATTTGTCTCCTACCATCGTGTTTTCTCCTTCCCTAGTTTTTCCCCTCATCAAAACATCAATACTCATAGTGATCCCATCTGTACCTTCCTGTAAAGCACGCCTTTCATTGTGTTTCATGATCTACTTCACCCTCCTTCTCCACAGTAACAACATTTTTTAGAATAACAGTATCAATTTTCTCCGGGAAAACATCTTTGTGGTGTCCATATTTGCCACAATGAAAACACACAAGGTGTAATCCTTCATACCCTATTTTAATGTCATCAAGAAAATGCATAAACGAAGGTAACAGAGGTTGACTCAAATCCAACTCGACACAAATTCGATCAAAGCCCTCCATATCCAAAATTGAGGTCGATAAATCTATCTTCAAGGTTCTTCTAACCATATTTCCAATACGTCTCAGTGATTCCACATTGTACAACTCAACTGGTAAATCCATTATTCTTATCCATACTACAATCCTTCTCTAAGTATCTACTTTCTAGGGGTTAAAGTTTGGTCTCCATTTCTATACTAGAAGATAATGGTCATCTATCATCGACGGACCTTCTTGATAAGCATAGTCTAAATCTTCTTATTTTCTGAAAGAAATAATAAAATATCCATTGCTCAATGGTGTAATTCTCATTAGATCATGTATTTTCCACATTATAGTTAACCTTGACCTAAGATACCTTAATGGGATAGATTTTCCTATTAATTTGACTATTAAGGAATTTAGCCAAGGACGACACCACTGCTTATACTCTGCCTCTGTGAACTTCAATTTTGGTTTCCTAACATAAGTTGCACCTAGAACTTGGCAATCTTCATCTGACATCTTGCCATTTTGTTTCTTCTCCTGTTCATTGCACCTAGCAAAATATCCTTTCCAACCCTTCAAAATGTCTTCATTATGCCCATTACACCATAAGAAACTAGATGCATTCAGACTGAGAAAAGATTCCCAATAGGATTTAGGAGCTTTTGGCTGCTTTGACTCCTTCTTCTTACCCTTTAAGCGTCTATTTGCCGTGAAGACAAATTTTGAATCACCAATCTGTGAGCCATCACTTGTATCCCCACCATCCTTCTTGCTTCCGCCACCACCAACACCTCCCTTGCCACCTCTGAACTCTCTGTTACTCACCATTTTCTTTTGTGCATTTATATTATCCTTTCTTATTGGTTGATCATTCAAGACGCAACATTCTAAGACTAAGGCTTTGTGTTTATTGGACAGTAAGATTTTTTGAATCAATTCTTTAATTTATTTCAGTTCCCCAAATGTGCAATAAAAACTTAGAGTTTGGTGGGGTTCTATTTTTACTATGTAGGGTCAACGAAGACTGACTTAAATTTTTCTTTACTAATATTTGAAAGTATATTTTATATTTGTAGTTTTATAATATCATATTAATATTTTTTTTGGGAAAATTGCAATCAAGGGCCTCTGGAGCAAGTTTGTCGCAAAAAGGGACCAATATATTTTGAATTTACATTGCAAGACCTAAGGATAAAAATGTAAATAAATTTGAATTTAAAATGTCAATAATATACATTCCTTTGTTTTTTTTCAAAAAAAGACAACACCATAGTCGCCAATGCTCTCCCTTAGACCGCCAGAGTCAAAGAACCTACTGACTGTGGAGATCCAAGTCCATCTAATCATTTAAGACCATATATATATATATATATATATATATATTTTGTATGCATAATAACCCAATTTTTTAAACTACTTTCATGTTATGACATAACGATCTCTTGTTAATTCTTTTATAGCATTTATTATTGGGTAAAGTTGCATTTTTTTTCCTTGAAGTATTCTTCGAAAAGCATCTAACACCTTAAACTATTTTGTAAGCTTTTTTCTTTTCCTAAAAGTAATTAAAATATATCATTTTCTATTTTGATATTAAATAATAAACATTGACTGTTAATACGATATGAGAGAAAGTTACATTTTAATTTCTTCAAGAGCGAAAACATTACACTAAATAATTTAGGGTGCTCCTTAGAGAATATTTCAAAAGCAAAAATACACATATATCCTTTATTATTTTATTAATGTCATTTGTTAATGTAACATAGTGAATTATAAATTGAGAAGTTTAAAATTCATGCATTTTACGAGTTCTTAATTGTAAATTAACATGTAAATGTCATTAAAATAACATGTTGACAGATAATAAATTCAATTTCCAAAACACTTGTTTGATATAATGTAATAATGACTTGTTACTTTCTTAACAGCACTTGTTACTTTACTAGTCATAATGTTATTTGTTAATTTTATATAATTAATTACAAATTGAAGGGTTTAAAAATTCATATATTTTGCAAGTTTATAAATTGACAGTTAAATGTCATTAAAATAAGATGTTCATAATTCATACATGTAATAGAGTAACATTTTTAACCTTCATTTTATGAGTGCCATAAGTGGGTACTAGTAACCAAAGTTTTGTTGACACAACCAACAAACTGTTGTGTAATTGTGATTTTGGTATCTCTGTTCTCGTTTATCTCTTTTCTCTTTAACCTCTCAATTCTTTTGTTCTTATCTCTTTCCCTTTTCTTTCTTCTTTTCTGGATTACAGAGATCCAACACTAGCAGTAAAAGTAATTTTATCCCAAAAATCAAACATTTAAAAGTTTTTTGGGCTGACATTCAGTATGGATAAACAAAACAGAGTTTATCCTAAAAACAGTTGACATAGCATCTAAAGCAGCATGGATAAACAAAACCCTTTGTCATCGTGATAGTGGACATTTGAAAACAAGACACGAGAGATTGGCCAGGACCAACAGGTTGTAATGAACAAGTTGAAAAATAATCAAGATTCCAAAACTCCCCCTCTGAAATGGGTTTATCCTATACCATAACAATCAAAAAGGGAGAAGCAGATATTAAGCTTTTTTCCAAAAAAGAAAAAAAAAAAAATCATCGACTCTAGATTCCAGATTTCTGATCGTATCAAACATGAAGATAAGCAAACATTGAGATGACAATTGCTAATTCCACTGAGGTGTCACCAATTAAGCTGAAACTAAGGCCACATAAAAGTATGCTTCTTCAGACCGCTTTGATGTTGACCATGTGTTGGTAGAATTTGGTCTACAGATGGAAGATTGCTGCACCTGGGGATTGCTGTGTGAAAAGGTAGATACAGGATGAAGGCCACTCAAGGAATCTGGAACTGTTACTAATTACAGCTGCAAAAAGGTTTTCAAAAGAATAAAAGAAAAGGCTTATGGAAATGCTACGATGTATTTATCAGGAACAAGATCTAACAGCACAGATTAACTTACAATAAAATTTCCTACTAATAAGGAAGCAAGCAGCCATTCAGGTTTGTCCGGCAGTTTTACCTGCAATAGCTACCTTCTAGTTTAGAACAAGAAAACTGATCAGTGCAAGAAGCAGCAAAAGCATACACTTTTTTTTATCCCTCAAGAAGTTGGAAACAACCATAGGGCCTTACCCTTACTGGCTCAATATCTCCTTTTACGTTGGCATGAGATAGAGAACTTGATGGAGCATTTGAAAACCTAGAATTGGAGAACAGGCAAGAGGTAAAACGAGCTTCAAATGCACACTCAAATCTTAGGCTATATGTAGTAGGGGGCACTTTTAATATGCTAAGGGGAAGAAAAATTTTTGATACACACCTGATTGCTCTTGCCTTCCTTTTCTCTTCCTCCAATGGGTCAATTTTGGAAACTGGTGCAAACTTAGCAAGCCGAGCTTTCTTCTTTGCCTCGTCATCAGCAGCAGTAGATGCACGAGTAATCCCAGATCTGGAAGGCATGCCATATACGAGTCGTCATCATCATCATTTGTTTATAAACAAAGATCACCAACCAAAACATTGTGAAGAGTGGAAAAGTATAGGGGGAAGTAGGTGCCCATTCAGCTCCTTCATTTAATGAAACTGCAGGTAAATGATAACATTAGAAATCGAAAAACCTCTCTGTTCTAGCACTTCTCTTTAGGTCCTCTGATTTTGATGTTGATAATGCTTGTAATGCAGACCTAGTGCCGAACCTGCAGTAATGATTAGGTGAAGGAAATGCGAAGTCAAATCAAATCTAAATTCCACCAACCAATTAATTTACTTTTTCTTTAAACCAAAAAGAAAAAATTAGTAGAACGTTTCCAAGGGGAGCCAACATAGCATAGCCGTGATGCTAGAACTCATGGAAGTTTATGTGTTCATGTGTATGTGAAAAATCATCACTGTGGAAAGAAGAGATAACAGAAGATAAGAATAAACAAAATGGATGGATAGAGTGAATATGTTCACATTCTTGTTTTAAAATATATTACTTGCAATACTTTAATGAGTAGTTTAAAGCTTAAGGTATAATGGTTAATTTAATATCATGTGATTGTAGTTATTAATTTTTTTAAAATTATTTATATAAGATATACAAAATAAACGAACTTAAACCCCACCCAATGCTAGTGGGGATTGGGGACGCAATTTTTCAACAATGCACAGCAATCCAGGAAATCAGGGAATGCACAGTAGATTACTAGATTATCATCAACTTTGCAGATTCCGCATGCACAAGACCCTTGCATAGTTTTTTCCTCTGGAGGAAAGAGAAGTCTATTAAATAATGCATTAATTACAGCCAAGGTGATACGAATAAAAACCGGCATCACCAACTGTGTATTTAGAAAGTGCACTTGCCGCTGGCTAAATCAGGAAGCATTGCCGGCAAACAATTAAACAAGCATTTCATTTGACACAGAATATTTCCAATAATCTTGAATGAGTTATCATCAGTTACGTTAGAAAATTACCAATGATACCATGAAAGAAAAATACCAATGCTTAACAAAATGCACCTTTCATTCCACAAAACCAAGGAGCAAAAACAACCCAAATTACCAACGTTAAAGAGAACATTTTACTTTTCGGCTCGAGAGTTGCGCTTCTCTTGCTCAGACAACTGGACAGAAATTCCGAATCGCTCTGCTCGGCGCATCTTCTTTTCAACATCGGAAAGTGGGGCAACATTCCCTACTTCTGAAGCCGCTGTAGAAACTATCCCCTTGGATTCGAAACCTCCATTCGTAGAGCTGCCAGTGCTGGAAGTAGCTTTAGAAACCGGTTCTTGAAGAGCTGAATGTTGAGTAGAGGACGTATGGGTTTCTAATTCTTTGGAAGAATCAGCGATTGCTTTAGCGGCGAGAGGAACAGTCGGGTCTACGGTTTTGCCAGGGTTTTCCTCCGCAAGATTCTCCCCCGTCTTGGTTGCCATTGGAACAGTAATTGACAAGAGAACACAAGTTGCGTTAAAAGAACGAGACCGAGATTTACAAACTGGCATACGGATTTGATTAAAAAAAAAAAATTAAGAAGTACTTTTAAGTCAAAACATTTAGAGAATTATTATTTTAAATAATAATATTATCTTGTTAGGCAAAACAATTATTTGTTAACATATATTTTCAATAACAATTCAATGACAAATTTTAAAAAAAATGAATGAAACTTTTAAATAATAACGTTGACTTGTTAGAAGAAGTTATGATTTTCTACTCTAAAACCATTTGCTACAATATTTTAAAAGGTTCATTTACTGACGGAAAAAAATCAATGAATGGAACATTGCTTAATTTATGATTGATATCAGCATTTTTAAGTTTATTTTGTTATATTAACTATATTGAAGACGTGCTTCTTATATTTCCTTTAACTGATATATGAAATTTGATTTCGTTGTAATAACATTTATAAAAGAGAAGATAATGAATATAAATGATAGATGAAGATCGATCAAAAAACTAAAATTTATTTGAATTTCCTTAACGAAGAAACCAAAACACAAAAATATGTATCCATGTCTTTTGAAAAAGAGGTTCAACTATTGTTGTTCAAGCTACAGTCTAAAAAATTTTCTTGTAAACTACATTTGTTGTAGAATTGAGAGGGCTAAAATCTAAATAATGAATAAGAAGTTTAAGCTTGTCCTTTAATTTAACCCTTGAGAAAGCAACATATAGTTGCCCATGAGTGAATACTAGATTTGGCAAATAAACTCCTACTCTTGATAACGTTTGCCCTTGACTTTTATTGATGGTCATTGCAAATGATAGGATGATGGAATTATTGCCGACGCATGACAAAAGGAAGATCACCCTCAGAAGGATTCTGATACATACAATGAATATAAACTTCTTCACCCGAATTTGATCAATTAAGAATTATTCTCCTTATAAAATGGTTTAGGAACAAAGCGATCCTCAACCTTGTTTCATTGCAAAGTTCGTTAGCCTTATCTATATTTCTCATAGGCATCATTAGGACTCCAACCTTAAGGGTCAACTTGTATGGAGCCATTCTGGAACATTCAATTGTATTCAAAAATTCAGTATTGTAAATATCTTCAAAAGAATCTAAATCCTTGATTGCTTTGCATATTGAGTCTGAACTAAAGTATGTAACAAGCTCGCCCAAGAAGATTGAACATATGTAACTATTCAATTGATTAACAACTTCTAAAATTAGAGCCAATATTGCTTTATTTATTAAAAAATATTCATGCCTAAAATTTTCTTGTAACTTTGGATAAATACATTCCACAAATTTTAAAAGGATCTATGTACTTAAAGATTAAAAATACATCAGGCATGCCTATGCTTGATTTACCATCACCTTGATTACTGATTGATCCATCTCCTAAACTTAGAAGCCAATCTGAGAAAGATTGAATCTCATCCTTTTCTATTTTTGAACTTGATGTAGCAAGCCTCATGTTCTTGGTCAACTTGTAGATTTTGCAATGATACCATAGATATGATGAATTGGTGGAAGCATTAATAATATCAGCGCTAGAACCTCTAGGTATTACAGGTAGAATTTGTTGGAAATCTCCATGAAGAACTATTACTTTGCTCCAAATATTTGTTCATTATGCATTATATCTTTTAGTGATCTATCAAATGCTTCAAAACAATATTTTTTTTTGTCATGGGTGCCTCATTTGAAATAATTAAATTAGTGTTTATTAGTGGGTTGGCTATGGCAAAACCATGCATGATGTTGCACGTAGAATCTTCAATCATCTTTTGCTCATACATTGTTGTCTTAGACTTGTAAAGGTCTATGTCAAAGTTCAATTCTTCCATGACAAGATGATTAATTGTGTTCATGTTAATGACAAATATAGGCTTTGGCAAGGAAGGAAAATCATCCAGTAATCTTCCATTTTAAAGTACAACATTTTCGCTTTCTTTATCATCAAAGATGGATGTTACATAAAACCAAATTTTGAAGTGAATAATAGGGTTTTTTTTCTACTATATGAATTTAACCATAAAAATTATTTTATGACAAGTTTATAGCTAAAGATGGATATATATATATATATATATATATATAAAGAATCAAATACTATGACTATCTACTTCATATATGATGAATATATTTTTTAAGAATAAATTTTAAAACGGAGTGAAGTTAAATAAATAGCAAACCATAATAATGATATCAAAATTGATTTGATAATATATGTTGCTCTTCTAAACATCTGATTTTAAGTGATAAGTACTATTTATTTGCTTATCATATCTGAATGAGACTTTTTTTTTGTTTTGGTTAAAGCTAATACATGGCAAATATTATCTCATTTGGAAAAAAGATTTAATATGTGTTGATCCATCATAACTAATGAGGCATTTCACATTACAAGAAGAAGGGTCTAACTTGTTTCAAATTGCCTTGCAATTGGTGAGTAATATATATCATCATATATTAACTTGGCTGTTTGACTCTATGACTAACTATGGCTGGCTAAGACATGTTGGATAAGCTAGTACTCAAGAGAGGGAGTGAATTAGGTGATACTTAATTTTTTTGGTGAACTTAGAAGAGACGAAGATAGATGCAAGGAATAAATAGATTTGACATAAGAGATATATCCTAATTCATCCCAAATCTTAGCCTACATCTAGTCTGCAAGATCACCCTTGAGATTTTAACTAAATTCACAAGCTTCAATGGGTACCTGTAACATCCAAAAAATTTTAACCCTAAATTATTAACTTAATTAGAGTAGTTAGTGAGTTAATGAGGTGTGTGGTCAGAGGGACTTAACTTGGTATAATCGATGTGATTTTAGCCTCAGAAGTGGGTTCAGATTGAAGGCGGGCCACCCGGGCAAGGAAAGAGCATGAAAAAGTAAAGAGTTGTGTCCTGTGCCACACACTATAGCACGTGGTTGGTCCACTGCAGTGCATGGACGCAATTTGAAAGTAACGAGCTCTTCTATGCTATACACCGCGGTGCACGGCCAAAAATCTGATAAATCTGATTCGTGAGCTGTATGAAAACAGAAGAGGAAGAGAGGAGGAAAACGAAGAGCTTGGTTTTGGCTCTGCTAGGGCACGATATTTGGCCCCATTATGGATAGATTAAAGCTCTTAAACACCCAAGGTAAGATTATAGTGCTTCCTTCTTCCCTTTCCTCTCTCATTTATAATTATTTATGGTAGGGTTTGAGTTGGGAGATGGATTTTTGGTCCATAGGAGTATGGGTCCAATTTTATTAGTTAAAATGAGACTAATGGGAGTGATTTAATGTATTGAAACACCACATTGATGATTTTAGAAGTGGTTGGTCTATAGGAGCATTCAATATTTGAAATTTGGTATTTATGAGGTAGTTGAGAGAGGTTAATGTACATTAATGATAGTTTGAGGTATTATTAATGATAATGTGCATTAGTAAAATCTAATGAGCCCATTGGGTGTGAATGGGTAGTGGTTATGAGTTAGTAAAATAGTATATATGGAGTTTTATATTGATAAAGCTTAAAGAGCTAGATGATAATGATGTCCTTATGTTTTAGTTGTAGAAAGGTTTGTCTTGGCACCTTTCGAGCTTGTTGAATCTTGGGAAAGTTGATATAGTGAGGGGTAAACCTTTGACCTCTCAAAGATTTGAGGTAACCAAGGGAAACTCAATTTTTATAGTTAAATGTTAATTGTGTTGTAAAATGTGATTTGTGAATTAATTTGATGATGCATATTGGCAAATGCTTGAGTATGAAATGGTTTTGAGAAAGAAAACCTTGATTCTACAACCCTTGATGTTTTATAAAATTAATTATGATTTATTACTATGGGTGGAGAATTGTGATGAATTATATGTTAAAAATGTGGAGTATACATGTTATGTGAGGTCATGTGTTGAGTAATGAATGTTAAAATGCATAAAATGTGTGAAATGTGCATAGCATGATTATTAGCGGGAGTTCGCCTAAGGAGAGGAGTAGTTTGTTATGAAATCCATGTGGTATTAGCAGTAATTATTGGAATTGGGAACTAGCTTTGGCACTGACCGTTAGAATTAGGAGATAGCCCTTATCCCATGGTTGATTTAGGATTGTCCCCTTGTTCTATGAGAGACTCGAATCTAACTAGTCTCCACTAGTTCATGAGGAGGCTAGATTAGGGGTACGACACCCCATGGTTGTTAGTATTAGGGGAAACCGGATTACATAAGTGAGTGAGTTAACCTTGGTCTAGTAGCTCCTTACAAGTGAAAGGCAGGGTTAGTCCATAAAGGACGTAGCCTTGTGATAGCCACCGATTTCATGTTGGAGGTAATAGAAGCATATAAGGTGGCACATGATCATGCATATAAGTCCGACCACATGGTTGTTAGTATTATGGTCTGGCACGTGTTAAGGGTGCAGCGTTGTTATTTTTGTGACCTAAGTTATGTTTTGAAATACAACATGATATAGTATTTTATGGAAAGCTCGGTCACATGGTTGTTAGTTTTATGAACCATGGCCCAATACTATGTGATATATGTGATATGTGCCTATTTGCATCTATTTAGAATTAATATGTAGCTGTAAGGGTTAAGTGAAACTTGATTACTGAGTAGTTATACTCACCCCTTAATTCTCAATATTTTCAGGGATTAGCTCATTGGATCTAAGTTGGAGAAAACACACAGAGACTTAGGATTTGTGGAGTAAATCCTCTTAATGTCTCTCCTTAGTAATTACATATGTAATTGTTAATGTATTTGCCAACTAGGAACAATTGTCATGATTGATGCATTACTTGCATAATTTTGTATTTTAACTAGTGTATTTTATGCCCTGGGTTAGTAATATTTTGTTGTGAACTCATGGATAGGGCCAAAATACTTGTACAAGTAGGAGCATATGTATTTTTTGAAAAATATGAACGAAAGGGTTGGTTTTGTGCAATTTTTCCTGCCCCTTTATATTTTGTGAAAATTAGGGTTTAGTGGTAATTTTGTGAAACAAG